AATAAATAAATAAATAAATAAATAAATAAATAAATAAATAAATAAATAAATAAATAAAAGGGCTGGAGACAGATCCATGGTAGAGTATTTAGCTAGCTTGTGCAAGGTCCTCCATTTAATCCCCTGTACAACAAACAAAAGCCATTTGTTTTCTCAGTTCTGGAGGCCAAAAGTTCATGTTCATTGTGTCATATGTGATTTGTCAGGAGGCTGCTCTCCTTGGCTTGCAGGTGGCTATGTCTTACTGTGTCTTCTTAGGGTCTCCCACTTTGTATACTATGTCTGTGTCCTAATTGCTTCCTGTCAGGGCACCAGCCGGATTGTCATGAGAGCTTAACCTGTCGGCCTCATTTTAACTTAATCATCTCTTTTAAAGCCCTGTCTCGAAATATAATCAGAATATAAGTTACGGGGAGTTAGAACTTCAACATGAAATATTTTGGACCTGCCTTATCCTGTTCACTTGTCCAATACATATCCCCCAGCACTAACTACATAGAACCACAAAAAACACCCACTACTCACTGTAAAAATTCCTACTACAAAGCCTAAAGAGCCCCAATCTCTTTGGGACATGATGGCAGACACCTTTAATCCTACTCCTGGGAGGCAGAGGCAGGCAATCTCTGTGGCTATTACACAGTCAAAGCCTGTCTGGAGAAAACAAACAAACAAAAAGATCTCCAATCTCTAGCCCCTACAGACACCACTCATTCATGGACCCCATCACTTCCTGCATGAGCTTCATCACGTCATAATTCATATCACTCCACAGACTACCCACTATTCTCCTTACAGACCTCTCCCTGACCCTGCATCAATTTGCTTTCTGGCCCATAATCACTCATTCCACAGCCTCAGTCATCATGAACCATTAAATCTCTCACTGCAAAGGTCTTACTCTTCACCCCACAGATACCCTAGCATAATTCACTTGGCTACACCATGATTGTCCCTATGCATCACAACACAATATCCCATCACTCACCTTACAGGCCAGTACATAAGCTATCACTCCACAGCGCCTGCCACCTAACAGCATCTTATCAGCCTATAGACCCCTAACCACTCACCCTAAAAACAAACTACAATCCCCTATAGACTCATTCTTTGTCCCACGGGTTCCATCATTAACCCCGTCCTTACTTCTTAATGCCCATTATTCACTCCAAAGACTCCACCAGTTCATATATACCCATCACTACCCCCCAGAAAACCTCATCACTCAGCTGTCAGTCTCTTGATCACATCTATTGCAGGCCTCGTCACTGACCCCACAGACCTTCATTACACCCTATCTGTGTAAAGCTACACTTCAGTTCTAATCTTGGCTTTATGCAGGCTTTTGGGGTAAATCTGGAGAAATGTCTTTTTGTTGTTGTTGTTTAAAGCAAGGAAACTGTTTTAATAAGTACATTTCAAGAGGCAGCAGGCTAAACAGTGACAAGAACACCACCAGCAGGTCATGAAATCTGTCCTGCATAATTTCACCTTGATTCTCTCATTTCATATGCTGTTACTCAATCTCTTGCACTAAAGACACGCTGACTTTGCACTGCCACACACTAGGCACAGCCTCAATTTCTCTCCATTGTACTACCTATTATGTGCTACTTTACCCTTTGACCTTGAACTTCTTTCTCCACGGCTTTAATACTGACATTCCTTTATGGAGAGTGAAATGTAAAATAGTACTATCAATAATGTCTACCTCATTGAGTTTTGAATGCAGATAAAATAAATTGATATATGAAATCTGCCTGGCATATATGCTTTGTATTCGTTAAATAGAAGAATGAATACACAAATGAAAGGGAAAGTTCTCCTTAGAATAATAGCAAGGGTCTCTCTTTTTTTCCCCCTTGCTTCCAGTATCTTTCTGTCTTTGCCTAAGACAGAGACATCTTACCCTGTCAAAAGGGCACACCACCTTCAATGCTAATAGATTGATTATTCCTTTCTAATGTAGCTGAAATGAGAAGCACACTGTCAAACTGTTTCCCAGCAGGAAAATCCAGTAGTGTGTGTAGAACAGGAGAGACATACAAATAACCCTAGCTGCCTTTCATAAAAAGGCTGTTATTTCAAAAACTGAGATGTAGTTTTAATGTAGAATACCAAAGCAACAAATTATTTTAAAATATACCAAATTGAACTGGGGATATGAATCAGAATCACTGCTAGTGTGATTGCTAGCATGCACAAAGCTCTGGCTCTGATTTCCAGCAACCCAAGAAACTAGGCATGGTGATACTATCTGTAATCCTACCACTCAGGATCAGAAGCTCAAGGTTTCCTCCATCTATAAAGCAAGTTCCAGGCCAGCCTGGCCTACCTGAGATCATCTCAAAAAATAAATAATGGTTATGAGATGGCTCCACGGTTAAAAAATACCTGATGATCTGAGTTTGATCCACAGTTCTGGCATGGAGGAAGGAAGAGAACTGACATCTGAGAGTTGTCTTCTGTCTGTCTGTCACATGCATGCTGTGGCACATGCACACACACAATAAAATGTAATAAAAAATCTTAACTTTTCTGCTGGACGTGGTGGTGCTCACCTTTAATCTCAGCACTCTGGAGGAAGAGACAGGTGCATCCCCAGTTTCAGGTGAGTTCTGAGCCAGTTTGGTCTACATGGGGAGTTTTAGGCAAGCCAGGCTATAGAGTGAAAAACTGTCTCAATTTTTTTTTTTTCTCAAAAGAGCCTAAACCACTGGGCAATGGTGGTGGTACACACCTTTAATCCCAGCACTCAGAAGGCAGAAGCAGGTGGATCTCTGAGTTCAAGGCCAGACTGGTCTACAGAGTGGAGTCCAGGACAACTGTAGCTACACAGGGGAACCTTGTCTCAGGGAAAAAAAACCAAAAACAAAAAACGTAAGATGTGTTCAACCATCTAACCCTTACTTAACAAACACGCATTTTTGTTGTGATTGCAGTGCTGTGGGTCTCCTGTATGCTAGACATACACTCTATCAATGAGGTAAAAACCCAGACAGACAGAGTTTTATAACAGGGCTGACCTAAACAAGTTATAAGGATTGAATAAAACAAAGACTATGTAGGGCCAGCACTTTCGAGATGGAGTCTGAAGGATCAGGACAGCCTGAGCTATATGAAAATAAAACCTGGAAAAAACAACTTTTGAAGAAATGTAAGACTTCCAGAAAGCATAAAATACTTGCTTTTGGTAAATTACTTAATGACCTATAACAAGAGTTCAGAAGTGTGGAAAACTCTGTATGTGTAGTTCTTTGGATTCAAATGTAAATTATTTATTAAAAGACTCTGGGCATGGGCAAAGTGGTACACGACTATAAGTGCTTGAAGTCTGAGGTTTAAAAAAAAGCAAAAGCAAAAAACTTCGAATTAACCCGGGGAAATTAACGAGATTCTGTTTTTAAAAAAAAGAAAGAAAGAAAAGAAAAACTAAATACAAAAGTCTTTGGAGAAAGATTTTTTTCCCCTTCGGGGGAGTAATTTGAAGAGAAGTATAAGAATTTGATGACATCATCTGTCACAGAAGGCACTAGGCAACTCCAAGCCGGTCTTGGAACGTTGACGTCACCACGGTGTGGCTTCCTCCCCGCCCTCTTCTTTTTCTCGAACTGGTCGTCAGTTTACCACGCGGGTTCATGAATCCGGAAGTAGACAGACAAAACAACCGTGCCACGGGACCAAGACAGGCAGGACCCAGGCAGGCACTTGCACAAGGCAGTAAAAATCGAAATCTGGTCTCTGTAAGGCAGGGTTCTAGGCAAGAGCACGCTTGGCGCATGCTCAGAGGCGACCTCCAGCCCAGGTCAGGTGGGAGGGGCAGGGTCGTGTAACAACCTCTGCGCCTGCGTTCTGGCGCAAGGTGGGGCCGCGAGCTCCCGAACTGTAGGGTGTTAGCTAGGCTGGGGGGCAAGCTGCTGTTACCAAGACAGACAGTAGTGGCGAGATGGCAACAACCTCCGCGGCCTCGGACCAGGCATGCTCTGCAGCGCCCCCGCCCGTCGGGGGTGGCCAGGCTGCCGCGGCAGCTGAGGAGGAGGAGCGAGAGGTGGTACGGGTCCGAGTCAAGGTGAGGCTGGCGGCTGGTCGGCCAGCCTGCCTGGACACCACGTGAACGAAAAAACGGTGGCTGACATAGGATAGAGCACCTGACCTGAAATTTGGGGCGTTACTTAGAGAAGGGCGAGGTTTGAGAGCAGGTTAATGAAGGCTTAGGTCTTGGGGACACCTCCGTTGGGTGTGGAACTGGTATTAGGGGGGAAGGAGCCAATGGAGTGGATGGGTGGAGCCTACGGGTAGGGAGGTGGGTTGTAGGGTTAGAGGAGGGCCTCTGGAGTTCACAGGAATGGTGGAGGTGCTGTTGGCAGAAGGAGTCCTAAAGTCAGTCAACATATGGATGTTGAGAGGGGACTTTTATGCATGTTCTACCCCTGAGCCCACGTGCTTGTGGGAGGGGAAGAGTTAACCATAACAGTTAGATGTTTTGAACACTGGTATTATGAGAAAATAATAGATTGGGGTGTAGGGAGGTACTTTATCCAAGGTTGTATAAGAAAATCCCCCCAAAGAGGGTTCAAGGCACAGAGACCTGAATTTTAAAGAGAGAGAGAGTGTGTCAATATGTACATTTAGAATGGGAGAAGAGTTCTAGGTAGAGGGAACAGCTAGAGTAAAGGCTAGGAAGTAGAGATGAACTTGGTATGTTCCTGTAGGTTCCCATATTGTTGGAGGAGGAAGACTGAGGGCAAAAGTGATAAGACAATCGGGGCAGAGGAGAGCAGGTGAACAGCTTGTGATGCATACTCTGGGGAAGAGACCTGTTGCAATAATTCCAGCAGACCCTGAGTGGTGGCTCATGCTGGCATTGGCAGTGATGCTATTAGTGAGTGAGCCAGATGAAGTGGGAAGGGTGTTCAGACCAAGAGAGGTCAGCACACTCAAAAGTCTGGAGGAAGGTTTTACTTCAGGGAACTCTCAAGCAGTTTGATACTAGTAGAGCATAAAGTTCAAAATAAATCTGAGTGGAGGGAGGCCTAGCTAAGGTCTCTAGGTTTGTTGTTGAAAAGATTTGAGCATTGGGGTGTTACAGGGAGATTTACTAGATTGATTGCAGAATGGGGGGACTGGTTTTATTGTGGTCAGACTGGACATGGTGATTCTGGCAACCGTATTTGAGGCAATCTAGAAGGGTTGGACACCTAGACTATTGAAGTAGCCTTTGTTCCTGCTAGTCTGTTTTTGCAGAGCAGAAAACATGGACCCTGTAAAATTCACATCCTTTCTCTGCCCAGAACCTGTCTGTGGCTTCCCCTCACCCGGAACAAAAACCAAAGTCTCCACTATGGCCAAGAACATCCACCTAAATCTGGTCCCTGACCCCTCTTTGACCCTACCTTCTAATGCTGTATACCTGACCCAACTCTTTCCATGTGATGATGTGGCCCCTCGTGGCTTACCCCTTGTCTTCTTTCCCCAGAAATGTGAGAGCTTCTTGTCCCCGGAGTTCCGATCTTTTGCAGTAGATCCTCAGATCACATCGCTGGACGTGTTGCAGCACATCCTCATCCGAGCCTTTGACTTGAATGGGTGAGTGGGAGGATGAAACAGACCACTCATCTCGCCAGGGACTGGCTTTTGTGATTTTGTGTTTTTTTGTTTCACGTGTTTTTTTGTTTGGTTGGTTTTGGTTTTGGTTTGTTGTTGTTGTTGTTGTTGTTGTTGTTTTTTAATAATCCCATGATGAATATGTGTATCTTGCTTGGAATCTTTGGAAAAAAAAAGTCATAAACTAGCAGTGTGCTTTGGGTCTACAAGGTATGTACGTTTAAAACTTTCAAGTAATATTTTCAAAATGCCTCTCCAGACAGGTTTTACCAATACCATCAGCATAGAAAATGTTTTGCTGGGTGTGGCAGTGCACACCTTTAGTCATAGTACTCTGGAGGCAGAGGCAGGCAGATGTCTGACAGTTCAAGGCCAGCCTGTTCTACATAGTGAGTTCCAAGACAGCCAGAGCTATACAGTTTGACCTCTCAAGAAACCAAGATAAAAGATAATGTTTGTTTCATACCCTTGATCTCAATACTCTGGAGGCTGAAACAGGAGGATCAAGGCCAGTCAAGGATACATATGGAACTACCTCAAAAGGAAGAAAGAAAATAATGAAATTGCTTGCTTTCTTCATGCCCTCACAGACAGTGGTTACTATAAGACATTGCAAAATTTGTCAGTCTGATAGCTGAGAGGTGATATCTTTTGGGGGTAGATGTGATGGTGATTTTGTTGTGGTAGGCTGTCCTAGAGGAATATATGACTGTGGTAACAAATTTAAATAGTATGATATTGATGGATATTTCAGAGAATCCTTGGTTTATACTTCCATACATAGTTGCACAAGTGTGTTTGAAGAATAAATTCTTAGTCGCCTTTGTACATTTGTGCATTTTTGTTTTGTTGTAAAAAATAACAAACATACAGACTGCTTTTTTTTATGTAGTAAGAAGGCTGCTTTATTTCCACTTCTATCCCTCAACTACACTGTTACCGTCCCCACAGGGGACCAACATTTTACCAGTTTTCAGTGTGCCCTCCAGATATAAGCAGGTGTGTATCTGTTTCTATGTTTGTGTAACAAAGTGGATATAAATGACCTAACCTCAAGCTACCCGTAATCCTTAGCATAGTTCCTGGCAAATAGAAGGAAGTTGTTGTCAGTATGTTTCACATTACCTTCCTTGTTTTGTAAAACTGATCTTGAAGCTGCTGGGGATCCCAAGAGTTCCCTCATATCCTTTGTCCAGGAAGAAGAACTTTGGCATCAGCTACCTAGTACGGGACCGGCTAGGGCAGGAAGTTTTCCTTTCCCTCCTTTCTGATTGGGACCTCAGCACAGCTTTCGCCACTGCCTCCAAACCTTATCTGCAGTTGCGTGTGGACATTCGGCCCTCGGAGGACAGTGAGTACCCAGTGCCTTAGGGGAACTGCTGTAAGATCCAGATTTTCCCACGGGGTAATAATTCTATGCCTTACAATACACTCCTGGTAGGCCACAGGGACACAGTTGTTTTTTTATTTTTTTAATTATGTTTGAAGACCTGGGTTCAATCATCAGTACTTCCCCAAAAAGTTTGATTATAGTAATGGTAGTTATATATTTTAAATTCAAGTTCAAGGCTAGCCTGAGCTACAAAAGCCACCCTGTTTCAAAACAAAACTACAAAATAATTCAGGCTTTGGGGTTTTGAATTTTCAAATTAGGAATATTCAACCTATATTATCACATTGGCAATTAATTGGAAAACATAGCAATATGGTGATGGTTTCAGGGCTACTGAAGGAAAATATCCATGCTCTTGGGGAAAAACCATTTACATGTGAAAGGAGTAAAGTGCATGATGTTTCCAATTAATTTTACATGTAGAAGGAGCAAGAGAAAGCAAATGATGCACAAAAACTGTGGGTTCTGTATGAGGGCTATAAGAACAGGGTATTCAGACCACTCTCTTTTGCAATGTAAAACATGAAAGCTGGGCCTTGCTCATTCACAGATTAGGTAAACGCAGTGCCATAGAGTTACACAACCAGTTCCAGTGAACATTCTGATAGTTTTTGTTGTTGGTGGTGGTGTTTGTTTGTTTGTTTGTTTTTGTTATATAAAGGGTGTTTCACAGGTATGCCTGTGTACTTCGTGCATGCTTTGTGTTGGAGGAGGCCACAAGAAGGTATAGGATTTCCTAAACTGAAATTACAAATGGTTGTGAGCCACCTTCTGGGTACTGGGAATCAAAGCCTGGTCCTCTTGAAGAACAGCCAGATTTTTGTTTTGTTTTGTTTTGTTTTTGTTTTTTGAGCCATCTTTCCAGCCCCACCCAGTGTATTCTATTTGTTTGGGTTTTTAATTAATTTGTTTATTTGTGTTTTATATGCATTGATGTTTTGCCTGCCTGTACGTCTGTGTGAGGGTGTTGGATACCCTGGAACAGGAGTTACAGACAGTTAGGAGCTGCCATGTGGGTGCTGGGAATTGAACCCAGGTCCTCTGGAAGACCAGTCAGTGCTCTTAACTGCTGAGCCATCTCTTTAGCTCCTCTGTTTTTAACGTTTTTATGGGTTTGACTGTGTTTTTGTTTTTGGCAGTTTTTGAAACATTTATAGTATATGGCTTTAGCTAGCCTAGAACTTGCCATAGAAACCTGGCTGGCATCAAACTTACAGTGATTCTTCTGTCTATGCCTCCCAAGTGCTAAGGTAGGCATAACTCACCATGCGTGCTTGGCTGGGTTGTTGGTTGGTTTGTTTTGGTTCTAATAATTGAATACAAAGCCATGTTTGCTAGGTAAGTGTTGTACCACTGAACTATACTTTACCCTACCTTTTATTTTAAGATAGGTCTTACTAAGTTTCCTAGGCTGACCTAAAACTTAACATTTCTTTCACCCCAGCCTTATGAGTAACTGGAAATACCCTCTATATCCAGCAATGCCCAGCAATGCTAGATACTCAGAAAGTTTTCCAGCCACACATTTTGTTTATTGTGTGTGTGTATGTGTGTATTCATGTGTACATATGCACATGTGTACCATAACATATATGTGGCAGTCACACTCAGACTTGACAGCAAGTGCCTTTACCCACTAAACCAGCTTGCCAACTCAGCAAATTTTTTTTTGTTTTGCTTTGTAATTAAATGTTATGGAGTCATATAGTTCATAGCCTTAGATAACTTGTGTACTTATTTGGGATGACTGAGGCATTTTATTGACATCATGGTAAACATAAATAGCTAAATGGCCATTTAATATATAGTTATATAGTATAGTTAATTGTCCAGATAATCTTACAGAGCTAGGATGATGTACACCTTTAATCCCAGAAATCCAGGGACAGAGACAGGTGGATCTCTGTGAGTTTAAAGCCAGCATGATCTACATAGAGTGTTTCAGGACAGCCAAGACTAAAGAAAGAGACCCTGTCTAAAAAAAAAAAATCTTATAGGAGGGGGATTATTATTCTTCCATAAAATAGATGAAGAAACAGACCTAGAGAGGCATAAAATTGTCTGTGTTGCATAGATAGTGGAAGACAAAGTTTTGAACCCAGGAACACAGGCAGTTGATGATCTGGCTGCAGTCATTTTTTTTTTCCTGAACAGTTTGACTCTATGATATTTGGGGGTTTAGAGTGCAGGGGCCAGGCCTATTGGCACATGCCTTTGATTCTAGCACTCACAGAAGTAGAAGCAGACAAATCTATATGAGTCAAAGGCCATCCTGGTCTCTATATACATACAGAATTTCAGGACAGCTAATATTACATAGAGAGACCTTATTTAAAAAAGAAAAGACAAAAAGACTGGCCAGCTGGCAGCCTTCCCAGCAAGAGGATTACCATGACTCTCAAGTCAGCCTTCAAAAACAAACAAGCAGAGTGGGTGATGCACCTCTTTAATACCAGCATTTGGGAGGCAGAGACAGATGGATCTCTGTGAGTTCAAGGCCAGCTTGGTCTACAAAGTGAGTTCCAAGACAGCTAGGACTATGCAGAGACACCTGTCTCAAAACAAAGCAAAAATGCTTGGCAGCCTTGAGAAAGAGAAAGAGAGAGAGGTAGAGAAAGATAGAGAAAGGAAAGTAGGAAGAAATAGAAGAAAAGGAAGAAAGAAGTCAGACAGTAGGGCACAGAAATCTGTGTCAATAACCTGTCAGGGGCTGAAGAGAAGATTCAGAGGTTAAGAGCACTGGATGTTCTTCCAGAGTTCCTGAGTTCAATTCCCAGCAACCACATGGTGGCTCACAATCATATATAATGAGACCTGGTGTCCTCTTCTGGCATGCAGGTGTACATGCAGACAGAAAACTGTATACATAATAAATAAATAAATCCTTAAAAAAATAGCTTAAGTCAGCCACTTGAGTAATTCCTCAGGCCTTAGTTCCTTCACCTCTAATGTGGAAACAGTTGTACTATTTGAATAAATAGTCTTTCCAGCTGAGTAAGCACTGGGCAACCCAGCTGCATAAAAACTGAGAACATGCCAATGGAGCATAGAGTCAATGATACCTGAATTCACAGAAGCACATTTTAAAGGTTCTTTTCTCTGTGTTCATGTGTTTGTGTAAGGGTGTGTGTGCAAGTGAGTGTATGTGTATGTGTATGTGTATGTGTGCTCTCATGTGGGAAGACCAGAGTCATCATGAGTTTCTCAGTCATCATCCACCTTATTTTTTGAGATAGGTTTCTCCTTGAACCCAGAACTCACCGATTAGCTACATTGGCTGGTCATCAAGCCAAAGGATCCTCCTGCACTACTTCAAGGGCTGGGATTATAGGCCTACAACACTGTGCCTCTCATTTTAGATGGACTCTGGGGATTACTAGGGATCCACACTCGGGTCCTCTTGCTTATGTGGCAGCCACTTTACTGACTGAGACATCTTCTTAACCACAAACTTATCTATAAAAATAGTTTTTTATGGGCTAGAGTGATGGCTCGGCAGTTAGGAGTACTGGTGACTCTTCCATAGAACTTGGGTTCAGTTCTCAGCCCCACATGGCAATTTAAAACAATCTGTAACAGTCTGGCCTCTAAGGGTATTGCATGCATGTTGTGCTCAGACATATGCTCATAAAATATTTTTTAATTAACTCTCCAGTTATTGATGAATCAGTTCCTTCTCCACTGTTTCCAAAAGTGCTAACTTAGTTTCCAGGTTGCAGCATATGCATGCTGTTTCTGATTTTTTTTTTCTTACTCTGATCTCTTCATTTACTAACATTTTGTTTTATTTTGTTTTTTCTTTTTTTTTTTTAATATTTCAAGACAAGGTTTCGCTGTGTAGCCCTGACTGTCCTGGGCTCTTTGTAGACCAGGCTGGCCTCAAACTCAGAGATCTGCCTGCCTTTGCCTCCCTACAAACATACATTTATTTGTTTGTTTGTTTATTGAGAACAAAAAAAAACCCCAGCTCCCTGAAATCATGAGAGGATTCAAAAATGAATTGCCTTAAACTTATATTTTACTGTGTGTGTGTGTGTGTGTTTGTGTGTGTACCAAGACATACCTGTAAAAGTCAGATGACAGTTTTTCAAGAGCCCATCTGTCCTTTCACCTTGTTGAGGTAGAGTCTCTTTTTCCACTTGTTGTCCTACATATTCCAGGTTAGCTAGCCCATGACCTTCCAGGCAGTTCTCCATTCTCTACCACTGTCTCACGAAAAGAGTGCTGGGATTACAGATTTATACCACCACATCTGGATTTCTGAGGCTAGAACTCAGGCCACCAGACTTGTTGAGCCATTTCCCTAGCCCATCCCTGGCTTTTTATGCTTATGGCGGAGATCTACACTCTTATGCTTGTACAGCAAGCATTTCACCAATCGGCCCTATTTTATTTAACAGAATTAACTTGCCATACCACTAAAATGCAGAGGAGAGTACTAGGTGTATTAGCATATGCCTTTAATTCCAGCATTAGGGAGGCAGAAGTGAGTTGGAAGCCACTTCTACACCAGCCAGGCCTATACAGTGAGATCTTGTTTCAACAACAACAACAAAAATCTGCTGTCTGCTGGGCATAGTGGGCCATGCCTATAATCCCAGCCATAGGGAGACAGACAGATTTCTATGACTTAACCAGCCTGGGCCACCTAGTGAAATCCAGGACAGCCAGGGTTATGTAGAAAGACTCTGGACCAAAACAAAAAAACAAAAAAAAAAACAAAAAAAAAAAAAACAAACATAAGAAACAAAAAACTCTGATGGGGAATTTTACTGGAGTTACATTTTTGTTGGTGGTGTTGAAACAGTGAGACAGGGTCTTTTTGTGTAGCCCTAGCTGGCCTGGAACTCGCAGAGATCTGTCTGCCTGCCTTTCCTCCCAAGTGCTGGAATTAAAGGTGTACCCAGAGTCTTTTGATGAGAACTGATAGACTAAGATCAGAAAGAAGGAGAGGAGGA